GCTGGGGTTAGACCCTGACACAGGGGAAGTGGGTCATTCCTGGCACAGTGGTTGGTCCGTGAAGGCACAACTTCAGTTCCCCCTCTCAATTTAAATCACACAAATTAACAAACCCAAGAACCCAGTTTTCCATCTGAGGCTGTTGTAGCCTACAGAAGGCAGGTATCCCTGTGAGACAGCAAACTCCTCCATTGCCATGGTCCTGTGGCTGCTGGAGGAAGAAACAGTTTCGTATCTACCTGGGAGGCTGCAGACAGGACCACTGGGACACAAAAAGGGCTGATCCACCTATACTGACACAGCGACTTGCCAGGGCTGTGGAAGCTTTGCTCTCACTGTTAAGGGTGTTAGAGGTGCTGTCTCTGCTCAGTTCCAGATGCAGAAAGCAGCAACATCCAGGTCTCAAAACAGCCAGCCCATAATACTAATGCACAGCATTTGTGCTGGTGGCAGTGACCAGCAGCTTCACGTCAGCAGCACCTCGACATCCCTCAAAGCACCCTTTGTTTGCACACACCAATGCAAAGCAGGGCTGCGAAGGAAACAATATTTCCAGGTGCCAGGTCGGTTATCTCTGATCCTTATCTCGCTGCCCAGGACTTGGGCTGATCCCGGCTCTGGGCTGGGACTGCCAGGGCCGTGTGTGGCTTCACTGCCACGGGAGCTTCGTTGTCCCTGTGGGAAAGGGTTCTTAAACTTGGAGCAGGTGGACCACAGGTTAGCGACGGTTTGGGGATGGGAGGCTCCCGGGAAACCCGCCGCGCCGGGGCCGCGCCCTGGCACGGGATGCTCGCCAAGAGCCGGCTTTTGGTGGCCCTGGGCAACCGAAGTGGCCACGCACCGGTGCGCGGAGACAGCCCCGGGACAACGTCACTGCTCTGCCCATCCCAAAACGCTTCCCGAACTGCGGGGGAGAGGGAGAGGAGGGTAAAACCCGGCGATCCCTCTGGGTTTGCGCCTCCCTTGGGACCCGAGCCGGGGGCGCCGGGGGGTGTTCACCGACAGCCGGGTGGGGCCGGGGGGGGATGAAGCGCCTCGCCCATCGGGGTTGGGGGTCAATCCTGCCGGGAATGCCATTCCAGGGGGGGCGCTGGCACCCGCCGCGCTCCGGGGGCCGCGGGGGCCGCCCCAGCCGTGCCCGGCTGCCATCTCCCGCCCAGCCCCGCGGCTCCCGCCCCGCTTACGTGCAGTCCTGGTTGTAGGAGAAGCAGCTGAGCGCCGGCGGGGCCTCGGCCGCGGCCTCCATGGAGCGGGCGCGGCGCCTCGGCCGCTCCGGCCCCCGCGGCCGCCGCGCCTGCCCCGCCCCGCGCCGCGCCGCCCATTGGCCCGCGCCGCGCCGATGGACGCGCCGAGCGACCAATGGGAGAGGCGCGGGCGGGGAGGTCCCGCCCCCGGCACTGACGGATCGGGCCGCGATTGGCTGGCGCGGGGGAGCGGCCGCGCGGGGCCACGTGGTGATGTTGTGGTTGCATCAGACGCGCGCGGGCAGGTTTTGGGGAGGGGGGGAACATCTGGGCGGCACATCTGGGGCAAGGGCGGGACGAGGGGGGGTCCAGCCCTGGTGAGAGGGGGGACCGGGACTGCCGTTAGGGGAGTGGTGGGCGAGGAAAACTGGTGGTGACGCCCCTGTGACGCCGCTGCCCGGAAAACAAAACAGTCTCCGCTTCCTTGGATAAACAGCGCTTTGGAGAGTTTAGTTTTTTCCCCCCCTTTCTACGACGTTGACATCATAACCCTAATGGCTTTTGCATCGTCCCTGTGCTTAACGCCGCTGCTGCCTTGTGGGGTCGAATCTTCCAGGGGAAACACCAAGGAAAACAAACCCCAGGGCCGGTCGCTGAATGACAAATATTCCACAAGCCAGGGCGGTGACTTTAACAGCGCACAGAAACGCAGGGGCAGAGCCTGCAAACCCCCTCATTAGATGAGTAACGCTCATGTGAGCGCTGAAGTCATTGGCCCCACATCACTTGATGTGCACCGCAGGGCTCTTGGAAAAAGAGCCGCAGGCAATACCATCTCCATGAGGCAGATTCCATGTGGACACATCTATCTGCCTGGATTAATCCCCCTTTGCAGCATGTGGGCCCTCAAGTGTGCATAATATTCCCCTGTTATAGCGTTTGAAACCTGCAACTGAGAATATGATTGATTTTTGGGAAGGAAGTATGAAAACACACAGCTTCAAAACACCACTTTGGAGGGAGGTGGTTGGTGGATCATCCCTAGGACACAAAGCACAGGAGTGACACTGCAGGGGCATAGTTTTAAATACATCATGTTTGGGAGGGAAAACATCTTCTATTCAAAGGGGCCTAGTGGGAAGTTCTAATAAAACCCAAAATATGAAACAGAAAAGCTGTTTTTGAATGTGCTGAAACTGTCCCTGTGGAACATCATAGTTTGATTTTGAAACAGGGATGTCAGACAGTAAACAGGGTTGTGGAGCAGGAAGAAGTTTAAAAACAAACTGAAGCCCCCTCCAACAAACAAAAGCAGGGAGACAGTGCCTTGTGTTTCAAAAAGCAGTTTCTGAGCAATGGCTACAGTTGGATTTTGCCGCTTGGGCAATCACCATGGTTTTAAAATGAAACCTTGATAAGGCATCTGAGACTTGGGCAACACAGTTTTTGTAGCTTTACTGATGCAACCGTGTTGGTCAATCTTCTTTGGAGCCACTGCAGTGGCTGTTTAACCAGCAGAGGTGGGAGAAACAGAGAGTTCTTTGTCCTCTGCTACAGCATGAAAACCTTTGGTAGCTTTTGGAGCAGGAGCTGCTGTTGGGTGGAGCCATGTCACCTCCATGGATGGGACTGTAAGAGCAGGGCCACCATCAGGACAAGGTGCTGGTTTGGCTGGAATAGCTTCTGTGTGCTGGTGAAGCCTCACAGAGCCCTTGGAAGTCTCAGGATCTGTGCTTTGGAAGTTTGGAGCACTTGAGTGTTGGGTGTGAAACAGAAGCTGAGGTTCTCTGTGTGGAAACTGTGAGTGTTTCTGGTAAAGAAATGAGGTGTCTCTGCCTCAATCACAAAGAAAGAGCTAAAGTGTTTCTTCAGGAATCCAGCTTTGGAGGGAGGTGGTAATTAGGGTAGCAGCTAAATCCCAGGATCTTTCTTGGGATCTGGGTATATGTCACACCTTGGGAAAATGGTCTGGCAAAGGCAGCAGAGAGCCATGCCAGACACCAGAGGGACAGTCCTTGCTCTGGTGCATGTGTTTGCTGGGAAGAACATACCAGGAGCTGGCCTCCCTTTCCTGACAATCCTGTGACTGCAGCAACTATTGACAGTAACAACCTCAACTCAGTCATTAACTCTAAACCCAGTCCAGAGTGTGACCTGACTGTGAATATTTCTCAGTGCTGACAACACGGTGTGACAGATGCTGGTTTGTGATCCCCACCCTGGGTGATTGCATTGAAGCCTTAAAGAGGAAACAGAGGTGAAGGAGCTGGGAAACCAGTGCTGTGCCCAGAAGGGCCTCTCCTAGCCACAGCATCCTGCATGCTACCATTCCACGTGGGAAGGCTTTCATACCTTTTCATGGCTTGTAGGCTTTTCCCTGGCTCACTGTTCAAATTCCAGCTAAGTTCTTCCCTCTCGGGTAGAAAAGTCTGCTCCTGCTGATGTCTTTAGTATTTTATATCTGGTATAAAATAATAATTAAAAAAGGGGTCTTGGCAGAGCTAAATCTGTTAAATATTCACTGATACTCCTGATAACTGGGAGCCCATTGAGGAACTTGAGACTTCCAGGGGAAAAATAGGCAGGAGGGAACAGGCAAAAGGTGAATGTCTAATAACGAGAGTAAGTGTTTCTCAGAGCAAGGAAACCACATTTTGCCTGTGGAAAGAGTGGGAAGAGGTGGCACAAAGGCGTTTTCTTTGCTCTTTTCTGTCTCCTTTCCTGAGTGAATTGTGATGGGGGAGGTGGAGGAGGAAGAAGGGGCTGCAGCCCGACCTTTAGGGGCTTTGATAGCGCGAACTGTGGAGCACTAAACTGCCGGTCTCGGCTGTTTTAGGATCTCCAGACTGTCAATAAATGCTGCCATCTGGTGCCCCGAGCCCGGCTGCACAAGGGGTTCGTTCCGGGCCGGCATCGGGGCACGGTGATGCTTCCACACGGGGCTCGTTACATCCCGCTCTTGGGATTATCCCATGGATTACCTGCACCTCCACTAGCAGGAGAAAACACTGACATCAGAGAGAATCGAGCAGTTCTGCTAATAGAATGCTATAGAAAAGAAAGTGAAATTTATACCTTGCACTCCCCTCTTGCTTTGATGAGTTATTTCTTGTTTATGTCAGGACAGATTAGGTTTGGGTTTTTTTTTTCCTCGTATACAGTGAAATGTGAGAAGAAAACAGAGAGATGGATTGATATGTCAGAGGCCAATCTGAGTTTGGCAGAACAAGATCTAGACACTGAAGAAGTCATCACTTCAAAGACTTTTTGGGGGGATATCATGATTCCTGTATCAAATATAAAAATGTGGGAAAGAAAATAGCAATGGACAGAACGTATTTGTGACAGTCACCAGCAGACTGGCTTGTCTTGCTAAATTGTCTGGACAGAAGGTTACTTGGTGTGGAGAGGGGAAGGGGTGCAGAGGGGAGGTGTGTGTGCCATGTGCACACAAGAAGTCTGGTCACACTCTATTTAAGGTACAGAAACTGGGAAAGATTCATGGAGACCTTGAGAGCCACGTGCTGGCACTGACACCAGCGGGGTCAGGGAAGGACAGGAGCAGTCAGTCTGGATGTCACCAAGGTTCTGAGAGCTTTGCTTCTGGTAGTTTTTTCCTTTTGGTTTTAGATTCCAGCCCTGTCCCAGATCCTGCCATGGAGGGAGCTGTGCTTGAGCAGCCCTTTCAGACGTACTTGACAAGGTCAGGGCAGAGCTTGCAACCTAATGCTGCGTTTCCTTGTGAGTTGGATTAATGCTCCTTATCTTGTCCTGGCTCTGGCAAATACTCCATTTCCCTAAGTAGCATTAGGACATCACACTTGCCCTGGTCATGGATTATCTCAGGGGCTTGACACACTGCTCACAGGAGGGGAACACACTGAGGGGGGCTTGTCTTCCTGTCTCTTGAGGCTGCAAACTGAGCTCTTCAAAGCCTTGGAGTATTTTCAGCTGAGAATCATAAGACCTGTACCACAGGGAGCAAAGGGGTTAAAACTGGAAAGGGGAGAAAGAAATTTTTGCCTTCCTTTTAACTCTTGGATATAGTACTAAGTGTAATTCCTCTGTAATTATCTAAAGATCAAAAAATGTTCTGACGTGAGAGCTCAGAACGAGTAACATTGCAGGGGGGAGACTGGGAGCACCAGGAGGTCCTGACAGACAGAGGAACATCAGATTCCTGCACAGCCTGGTGTGACCAGACCAAGGAGCAGCTGTGGAGGGATAACTCACTGCCCAAGCTCCTCACAGGAAAGATTCATGACCTGGGGGGACTTTCTCCTCTCTAGAGGATGCAAGGAGGGGTTTGGGGGAGAAATGTCACAAAACATTCCGTGGATTCATAGCAGGAACAACTTGGTTCTTGTTCAGAGAATGCAGGGAGTCATCTACATGTCCATGGGACTGTGGTGTCCACAGAGCCAAGGTATCCATAGCCAGGGCCAGCCATATCCTCCCAGTTCATGTGGATGCAGCTTCCTGACTTCTTTTGCAAACCACACTGGAATCAGTTCTCCAGTGAATGGCCCAAAGCCTGTTCAAGTAATTCAGTTACTGATCCCCATTATTGGAGCAGGCAAACCTCTCATGAGCTTGGATTCATCCTCAGCTCAGAGGGTGTTTTTATCCTCGTTCTGCTGGAGATGGAGCAAGGCTAAGTGACTTCCACGGGAGAGGCTGGAAATCAGTAGCAGAGCAGGAAACTAGAGTTACATCTCTCAATCTTCTTGCTGCTTCAGACGTAAGTGTTACAGCTGGAGAATGAAAAAAGGCTCTATCGTATTCCTGTGGGCACACAGTACAGGCCAAGCAAGCCTGAGCTGACATTTCAAAGACCTTTTGTTTTTCAAGTGGGTTCCTTCCATCTGGGAAAACGTTCTATTATCTTGGGGGGAGGGAAGCAGCAACTTGCATCAGAAATGGCTTGATTCTGTAGCCAGTTTGTCAGATGTCGGTCCAGACATTGTTTGGATGTCAGTCCAGACCAAGGAGAGTGGATCTGACCCGTGTGTTTACTTTGCCACCTGCTTTCAGGGAAAAGCACATAAGCAAATGAGTGTTTTGAATGCTTTTATGTGCCTTTATCTTGCAAGAGAACTGTGTCACAGATGATGCTCAGAGAG